TTGATGCCACTTCTCTTGAATCAGACATTAAAACGGAAGACCTTACCTCCGGTTCCACCACAAAGAAAGTAGTTTAAAAAAGGCGAGAGTATTCGCTAGTGTGAGACCAAGACAGTCCATTAAGTTCGTGAAATTCCTCATGTCGAAATGCGCAACAACGTACGAATATTGAAAATACTGCGATACCGCTATCAATGTCATGTACATAGACCAATAGAGATTCGGGTAAGTCGACTCCGGCCACATGCCGATGAAACGGAGACCGATCTCGACCGAGCGGCTAACGGTACTTGCGCGGTTCATCGCTTTTTCAGTAGTACTGAATGGTAAAAATAGACGGTCACGTATAAAAAAACACACAGATGGTATGTCGCGTGATGACGGCAAAAGTATAATACTGAATAATAGCGAAGACGATGAAGCGCAGGCAGCAACGATCAATTGTAATTGCACCTCATCGCATTAATTCTTGGAAGCTCGCGGGTATTAAAAGCGAAAACGATGACAATACCCGCTCCCTTTCTGAGGCACTGAACAATTCAGTAGTTGCGAGATTGCACATAATTACTTTAATAGAGCTCAAAAAACATATTTCTACTAAATGTTGTTTTCAGCTATATATCTGATAAAAAAATTTATAAAAACGTTAATGTTTGCGAGACTTAAATGTAAGAGGAAAAAGAGAAGCGGAGAATTTATTACAGAAAAATACCCCCCCATCTGAAAAGCGACTGATTTTGCTATTACTTTTTGTCTTTTACTTTATGTCCTCGCTTACGTTTTATTCCGTTTCGCTACGTTTTCTTCTATAGCCAAAGATGCTTTCAGAGCAGTGGCGGTAGAAAAGCTGAACAAGAAAGGTGAGATTGCTAGCATGCGATGTAAAAACGTAAGTAGTAGTTAATGACATAAATTGTATTTAATTATAAACATATAGCATGAAGGAAACAACAAAAATTGGATAATTAAAACAAGACACTGTTTTTAAGCAAAAATTTTCTAAAGATATATTCAATGACCATAGAAACAAACTTCTCATGCATTTCCTTCTCCAAATACGTAACAATTTTTTGTAACTTTAAATAAAAAAACCGCTGTATATGAATTAATTATCATCAATAAAGCATATTTTGAATAAATTTGTTAAGAATAATTTTTAATAAAATAATTTCATACAACTCCTAATTCGTGCAATTCCATTCAATTAACAATAATAATGACTCACTATTAATGAAACTATTTGAGAAGTTCTAACAGTTTAACATTTCTTAGATTTTAATACATCGCATTTAATACTGATATATAGGAGACAGTTGCCTTCATAATCTGAAAAAAGAATTAACTTAAAACAAAATTAACAGACACAATTCAATAATTAACAAATTAATAAATAAGATAAAGGGCTATGAGCCAAAGCAAGGAATTTAATGCTCCAAGTAAAAATACGTTAAATTACAATAATGATAACATATATGTTTTGACACTCATTGCAGGATCATTCTCAGAATTAAATTATTTACGAATAATAGAATAATGTATTAAATAAGAGATTCATTTATAAAATAACGTCTTACATTTGTAAATCCTTCTAAAGTTAAATCAATAACTCTTCCTGCAGTTATTGTCAATCGCTTTTGACATCTTAAAATCATAAACAGTATAATACGACTGTCGCTTGGTGACATATTATACCAAAGTGACTTATACACTGCATCGCCAATAGAGTTACTCTGGAAGCAGGATAAATCTTTTGAAACGAAGAACAATAAAAAAATATTTTTTGTTGGTGAAAAGTTTTTACATTCCTTATACCTTCTAATGATAAAATTAATATTAAAACATGTGATACGTAGTCAATCAATGTAAGTAAAAAAAAAACATAATTTTGTAATATATATTTAAATTACTAAAAAATTTTACACACTTTGGCACTTAAAAACTCTCCTGCAAAGCAATATACGAAAACCTCTAGAATTATTACAGTATAATAGCTCACAGACTTGATTAAATTTGTTGTATCTTTGCCGTTACTAAGAACCTACAATAAAATATGGAAAAAAATGTTATTATCCAAAATAAAGAACCAACGAAACGACGTCCAACGTGACGAAACGACCAGCATTACTCACAATTACAATCACAAAACCAGTGCAACACATAACCAACGTATTCCACAGAACTTGTATCAGCGCAATGTTAGTGTACAGATTCTCAATATTTTCCGATAAAGTGATAATTTTTTGATGCTTGCAAATAAGATCTTTAATAACAGATAGAAATATATTGTGATCGTATTTCCCGTTAGAAATTTCAATTAAATCTTGTTGCATAATATCAATCTGACCACTCACATGAAGTACCTATAAATATCAGATAATTTTGTAAAAGTTATTTAATAAATAATTTATATATACACATAAGTTATTTAAAATAATATCTTGTCTTAATATTAATTCGATCATATCGGAGCGATGATAAAATTATTATTAAAACTGTTTAATCTCTTTAAATCTCATCGTGTACTTACCAATGCAACAAGTAATGCATTTATCAAACCAACCACAAAAGCTATCACCATATCGTAAAGAAATTGTCCAATTAAAAAACACTCGAAAATCGGTGATTTGCTAACATCAAAGGGAAATTCCATTTTTATAGGAAGTTCTCGAGAACTATTGCCGAACTGATCGTCCATCGACTGAAGCAAATGCTCGCCAATTGA